ACACCCAACCATAGCATCTTGGCGATTTGAATGTTAGGGTGCGAATGTGATTGGACTTGATTGATAAACTATCATTAAGAGAACATCATTTCATTCTAGCCACAATTAATTATTTCTTAGAATGAGTTGAAGTTGTCCCATTCAGAGAAGTTACTGTTGAGCAAGTAACAAATTTCTTCACTCAGAATATTATTTACAAATTTGGTGTGCCACAGCGCATTATTACCGACAATGGCCCAACTTTTTAAAGCATGAAGATATAAGAATGAGTTGATTGCCGATGTTCATCAATATAAAACACAAGAGTGAATGGCTTAGCAGAAACATTTAATAAAACACTGATTAAGCTGCTCAAGAAAATTCTCACTAAAAAAGCGAGAATGGCATACTCAGATGACGAAAGTATTGTGGGCTTATCACACAAATTATAAAACACTGACTAAAACGACTCTGTATGCATTGGTTTTGGAGCAAAATCAGTATTGCAACTTGAAGTTGAGTTGTCATATATTTGAGTAGCTGTCCAATATAATCTTACTCGGGAGCAAAAATGCTTTCTTAAGAATGGAAGAGTTGAGTGTGTTGGATGAAATGAGAATCCATGCTCAATAAAGTCTTGAAATATACCAAGTTAGGATGTCTCAAGCCTTTGATCATAACAAGTGTCATTGGACATTCCAGAGAGGAGAATCGATCCTGTTGCTGAGAAGGCCAATCATTCCTCATCAACATGTTGGTGGTAAATGTATGCCTAACTAAGAAGGCCCGTTCATTATTGAGAAAGTGTATCAAGAAGGAGCCTATCAGCTTATCATTTTGACGATTGATGACTAATGCCTCCAATCAATGGTCGATACTTGAAAATTATTATACATAATTACCAAGTCAGAGATGTTATATTCAAAATTTCATTCTGTGATGTAAAAGATTTGTTTCATTTTCATATGTATTTGAATATTATTTGAAATTCTCTTGTAAAACAAGAATGCATTTCAAAGTTATTGCAAATGTCCCCCCAGAAGACTAGAAATGTCCCCCCAGGGGAATCTTTTTAAATTCATTTGAGCTGATGTTAAGTTTCTATTCTCAAAGTATGTTGCACTGTCAAAATCCTCCCGCGAGATTGTGGCATTTTTAAAATTATATATAAATAAAATATATTTAATTTTTTTCTTACAAGACAGAGGCTCATTGCTTGAGTTGATATCGTGCGTCAAGCCAAGATTCCCACACATGATGCCAAAATTCTCTATTTTAAGGCACAAAATATTAGGGTTGACATCGACTTTAAATGCTAAGAACCCTTAATATTTGCTAAAATTTGCCACCAGGCGAAAAATAGATGCAAAATGAGATTTAAAGGCAAAAAATTTCCCTGATCAAAATTCTCAAAATTCAACTAAAAAAACTTTGAGATTTGCAAGTCTCAACAATTCAAGTTGGAAGGATGCAAGTTCTATCACAATTCATGTATAAGACTCGAGAGGGTGGAAAAAATCAGACCCAATAAGCCCACAGATGATTGAGTCGATGATAGCTCGCCTCATTCAACAAGCCATAAAAATGGTCATAGTGAAGGAGCAAGCATTTCCTACTCAATAAGCCATAAAAACAATCACAATAGGAACTCTTAAGTTTGTTACCTTGTTAGCATTACCTTGTTAGTTTGGTGACAGGAACTCTTAAGTTTCCAAGCTCATCCAATTTGACAAGTTCGAGTCTTCCAAATCCAGAAAACTACGATCCATATATTACAGAAGACGAGATTGTAGAGCTCAAAGTTGTGTCATGATCTCAGTAAAGGCATGGTACTCTATCTTAACAACCTGCAGCTCCTCTACCTCCTGAGTCAAGGCTGGCTCAACGGCTAATAAAGCTTGGTGATAAACCTGGTATCGTCATTGCCCCCTCTCAACTGTCTATGTCTTTCTAGTGTGCCTCGTCTAAAGACTGGCTTTGCACGGCATGTTGTCCCTAATATCCTCTAGAAGGTTCTTTATGTGAGCACCCAAACTCTCAATCTCTGCTGAAGAATCAGAAGAACACTGACGAGACCTCCTGAGGGATTCAGAGAATTTCTCCAACTCATCATTTGCCACATTAGCCGCCTCACGATGCCTTCCAACCTTTTCCTGAAGGTCAATTAATGAAACCATGGTCCTAGTAATATGGTGGGAGCTCTGAGTTTGCAAATCAAAAACTCAATCTCCCGGCATATCACCTCCCAGTATGTAAGCTCTGGACCTCCCAAGCCAAAATGCACTAAGAAGTCCAACACTACATTAGCGTCCATAGAAAAACTCTCTAAAGACTAAGGAGATGTAGGACCTAATCCGGATATCAAGTTACACAGAAATGTACCGTTTCCTGGATCTGTAAATGAAGGGTGTTGATATCGAACCTAGGACTCATAATCTACTCCAACTGGTGATGTTTGAGAGAAATACTAAATATTAGCACGATAAAATGAAAACACATATGTATATATAACAAGGAAAATAGAGGATATTATCGGAGCTTGATTCTTCAGGATCCACTGAAAAAGCTATATGGACAAGATATAATAGACACAATAGCTAAATCAAGAGGGGTAGAAATTAATACTGGCTCATCAAGTAATAGCTCCTCGTCAGCTGGCATCATAAGATCGGAAGGGAACTCCTTAGGTGATATCAGAGGCCGAGGACTATGGTAAACCATCTGATAAGCAGGAACAGAAGAAGACCACCCCGAGATCTGACATGTCTATCTGTTGAAGGAACATCATTAGAAGGTGAAAGTGAGACTCACTAGTTGTACTTTAGACAGTGAATGGATAACCTCCTCCTCCACTATGTGCTTATAAAATTTATCTTTGCTATCGTTGATGTTTGGAACACTACGATGGGGCTTCTAACCTCAAGGAATGCCTAATGATCTCACATATCACTCATATCTGCGAGCTTCATGCTCTATGAAAGCATCGAAAGATAGTCTCACCCATGTCAGTTGAATGTAACTCACTCCAATGAGACTAACGGGAGGAGCCATAATAAATCTAGAGATAGTTCCAATCCTAAGCAGATGAATCTATAATCTAAAAGTTGTAAAAAAGCTAATATCTGCATGTGTAGAATCCATTGATTGAGTATCGACAACCCCTCATATGTGCAATAATCCATCATAAGCAGTGGCATGTCAATATCCAAACTAGCGAGCCACCCTGTTGGGCTGATAGTCCCTTAAATGATTGAACTTTCATACCGATAATATAACCATCCAGGTCACATACTGATAAAAAGCTCAATAACTCATAATAATTGTACTCTGGAGAGTAAAGCATGCATGCCATGAGAGTCAGTGTCATCAATCATCTCAACCTCAAGAAAGTAGTTTGGAATAAGATTGAAATCTGGCTTAAGAACGAAAGCAAATTTATCCATCACAAGGTGTGGTGCAAAGAAAAATAAGTGTATCCTCTCACAGTCTAATGTGGAGGATGCCTGAGATAACTGAAGAATAGTGGTAAATCCTCTCTCTGTGAAGTAAGACGAACACTCTATACATGAGATAGCTCCACATATATGAAAATGAATTTATGCATATAGGTACTGCCAAGATAATGTGATATCTCGAATCTTCAAGAAGCTAGATGTAGAAATAAATTGTAGAACTCTGCATATCTTGGCGAGCACAATAAAAGCCAGAGAAAGACACACACCCTAAGAAAGACGGGTAGCAACTAACAAAACACTTGGATGAATAAAATCCTCTTTCTTAGGAAGCATAATCAAAGTCCAGATCACGTTATCTTCAAAAAGTTAGATGATGTGATATATCTAATCTTCAAGAAGCCAGATATAGAAATGAACCGTATAACTCTGTATATCTTGGCGAGCACAATAAGAGCCAAAGAAAGATGCTCACCCTAAGAAAGACGGGCAGCCAATAACAAAACACTGGGATGAATAAAATCCTCTTTCGTATGAAGCACAATCAAAGTCCAAATCATGTTATCTTCAAGAAGCTAGATGATGTGATATCTCGAATCTTCAAGAAGTTAGATGTAGAAATGAACCGTAGAACTCTGTATATCTTGGCGAGCAAAATAAGAGCCAGAGAAAGACGCTCACCCTAAGAAAGACGGGTAGCAACTAACAAAACACTTGGATGAATAAAATCCTCTTTCGTAGGAAGCACAATCAAATTCCAAATCATGTTATCAAAAGGAAAAATTAAGACATTCAAATTAAAACCAATCACCTAAAGAATTAAAGTAAATAAATAAAATCATCCAAGTTAAAATCAATCACTAAAAATTTAAAGCAAACATTATCCATCCTTAGTAACAGTTTGTCGAATGTGACGAAATTTTGATTGACTTCAGCTCACAAAAAGTCTCTATATTCACAATTAAAACAATTGCAAGCTAGTAATGATGTGGCACGAGTTTCTATCAGCCAAATGACAAAACAAAGTAGTGGTTATGACCCCAGCCCTCTGACCGGGTGGTTGCCGCCAAATGGTATCATTATATTACGATAATGATCACAGTTTTTATGCTCCCCAATGACTTTATAATCTATGAATTGTGAATTATAAGGGCACAATTGATTGACACAAAGTCTTCTGTTAGTTAAGGTTGATTTAAATTTATACCCTTAGACAAACAATCAACCAAAATCTACAAGATTCTCTTAAACGACCAACCCATGGTTCAAGTTGAGTCGCCAACCTCCTTTGACTATGTAGATCAGAAACCACGATGACCTGAAATGAAAGAACTATAGGATCTTGATTGAGTTTCATCTTAATTTCCCCCAAAATTCATTTTAAGCTTCAAGTAATAGATTTTGAAATTCAAAATATTATATGTCTGCTGCTATTTATGTTGAATATTCAATTCTTAATGATTAGCTTTAATCGAAAAAGTTCTCCCGTTATTGATAGGATAATTAACCATAGGGGCTTGTGACAATAGAAAACCTCAAACCCCATATCAAAAAATCCTCACAAAATGAGAGTGAAAACGTTGGGTACTATTTTATTTACAATCCAAACTACCTTTTGAATATTTGACCCTTCAAAGTTGTCTCAATGCAAAAACAAAAAAATAAATAAATGCACAAAGAGTCCTGGGAGTGGTCAGAATTTTCGGAGCCAAACTACTTTTACAACAACTGCAACAACCCCAAATAGACACTCACCTAAACATAAAATCTGGCAAACATTTGTCTTTAGTTGAGTTTCCCAGATTTTAGTCAAAGATAACGTATACTAAAGGCCAAACAAGTCCATCGTGATACAAGCATGCAGGCTAAAGCACATTTTGCCACATTGAGGAATTCAAATGCTTATATATTGAAGTACTTACCTCTAAAACTCTACAGAGAGCGATCAAGAAGCTCATCAATGGAGGCGTACTTGACCTCAGGGTAAAGCTCAGAAGCCTCCACTCCAAATGACGTATCAATATCTATCATAGTCTGTCCCTTCAAAAACCCAGCATGGGCAATCATGTAACTACCTCTCACATCAGGAGGACCTTCTGCATCAGCTCACAGAAACAAAAAAAAAAGGATGGTTTATATCAAAAGGAATGTGAGAATATAACCAAAATATTGTTAAAAGAACTACAGTTTGATTTGCAGCATTGCGGACAATGCACAAGAATTTTGATGCCTAAAGAGAAACACATAAAAAGAAGTTTAATTAATGTCTGAGTCATAGCTTTACCTTCGATTTTCTTAATGACCTCTGGTTCAGGGATATAGATCCGCTCAAATTTCTTGCCAGTCTTCTTCTCCCAAAGATCAACCATCTCATTGTGAGTTATGACACAGCCCGGAGGCCTCAAATACATGATCTTGTTCAGAGTTCTTGGATCATCAGCAGCTTTGATCGTGTACGTCGCAGTGTCCTCTTCTCCAACCAATGAAACTTATCAAAGGAATCCAGAAGTTAATGGTTCAGAAGATTGACATTAAAACCTAAATTTGAAAACAAAATTGACGGTTCTGTAATATGTTGCTGCTACCTTTGGTATTGCCATCCCCCACTATGTAGACTTTGTCAGTAGGTGGACCTGAGACTCCGGCTTGGCCTATTCTTGGCAAGAAATACCAGTTAGCAGCAAGTGCACCACAGACAATAGTATAGGGGACACCTTCCTCTCTAATACGCTGCCTGACTCTAGCCTTAACCCCAAGGAGGCTTTTGGCTGGCTCCATTATATCAAGACGCTCAACATCAAAACCAAACTCAGATGGGATGTATCTCTGCAGGTAAACTGTAGAGGTTAAGAATATAACAACTCTACTGATATATTCCACCGCCGAAACATTGACATAACCACACAGAATGAAAGAACCTACTACAACTTGTAAAGGTTGGGTTCTATTGTGTGAAGGGAATTAAGTCGGAGCAAGGATTGATCATGATTGCCTTCGCTTTTCTATTTATGAAATATTACATACATAAGATTGTTTTTAATGGGAAAAACACTTGAAAGAGATAAAATCATAGGGTCCACCATAACCATGGAATATCCAATATTTATAAGAAAATTAGTACAAGGACAATTCACCTTAAATAATTGGAGGGTTTTACTCGAGATGAATCTTCATAACTGAAAAAAACAGTCAAAGGCACCAAAATAGGTCCTCATGCATGTTGCTCATGTTTACTATCTATGTAACAGCAAGTGCTTTTGCATGGACGAAGTTGGCTACTGTCATATCCTAGATGAAGCCAACCATGATGCAAGCCTAAGTAAGGAAAAATTACGTAAAGCTTCGCTAGACCCAACTGTGATGTTGATAAGATTAGAATGTAGTTCTAGATACAAAACTGACCACGACGCAATTAGGGTTGAAGGTAGGCTTTAGAGGAGAAAGCTACAACATAAGGTAGTGGCATAGATCAGCAAGAAGATGAGCGCAAAAAAAGTGATGTGGAGCCATAGTTCTTGAAGGAGACAATAGTGGGGCAAGCAAGACTACCGTGCAAGTCTAGAAGGACATAGCTACAACAATGTTATATAAGAATACACTAATGATGCAAGCAAGGTCGTGGTGCAATTCAGAAAGCGATAATGAAAATGATGCAAGCACAGTTCCAACTTTAATAATTAAAGTTTTGACAAAAGTTTAGAACAAAACAATTCTGGTATGAGTGAAGTAACACCGAAAGTTAATAAGCAGTGATGTCGATGAAATAAGTGGGTTGTAGCATAAATCTTGAAAAATACCAAAATAACACAGCTGCCATAAATAACATGTTCTTCGAAACATCGGGCTTGTTCTGGTTGGGTCAGGTTAAAAACATTGGGTAGCATGTATGTAATATATTTATTTGTATAAGTAACAAATTAATGGTAATATATTATTATTAATAATTTGTTATATATTATAATTTATAGGATTTAATATTTTAAAATATGATGATTTTGTTATTTAAATTATTTTAATTAATCATAATTTATCATATTGAATTTTATGAAAATGTATTATAATATTTATGTATTTTTCGAAGAACTTGGCAAGATTAAAAAATGTCAAACTGCACACTTTCGAAGCTCTGGGCAGGTTCAGGGCGGGTCGCACGTTTAAAAAATGCTTATTTTTGTTTTTTTATCAGTGGGACCCGTATTTACACGGGTCGTTATTTTATTGGTGTCCGGACGCAAATTTGCGTCAGGTCTCCGAACACAATAATTTTCCCACGACATGACCAAGGAATTCTCTGCTTCCCATGTTACATATCTTAGGCCAATCTTCGGAGGTTCAAGAATCATACCGATGAAATAGCCAAATTTCACGTGTCATTTAACAAATAATGAAACGATCATTAGAGAAAGCTAGAGTCAATAAGTTTATGGGTGGTGATTAAGAAGTTCATTTGGTATTTTGGTCATTCGGTTTGTGGAGGGATTGAGATTGGCGTCGATCCTCCGATGAACTTAAGTACATTGTCGGAAAGAGGTTCAGTAGTTGAGGAGTCCGCTGTGATTTCTATTGAGCTAAAGGTGATGTTGGGTTGCGAGACATAGGAGGGTTTCAGCTGCAGGAAGGAAATTGGGCCGCCCGCTGGAAGCACCTGCTAGAAAGATCTCACTGCAGTATAGTTGGTTTTGGCTGGAAGGATTAGCTGTTGCAAATGTCGACTGGCAAGAACAACAAGCAGAAATGTCGGCTGAGAAGAATCGTGGAAAGAGCGAGCGGACATAAACCGACTAGGAAGTCTTGCGGGAAGAAAAAATGCTTGGGAATATATGCGGAAGCAGCAGCGGGAACCCAACTAGGAAGAACTGTAGGAAGAACAGCAAGAAATTGATCAGGCCAGCTGGAAGGAGATCCGACAGGCTAGAGGGAGATCTGACCGGCTTGAAAAAAAATTGATGGCTGCTAGGGTTAAAACCACAACTCTGATACCATATGAACTTTAGAGAATAGAGCAACATAATTCATTGATAGAAAAAAGGTGTATAAATACAAATTACAAGACCCACATAAAAAGAAAGATTTAAATTCAAAACAAAAATATGGAATATATAAATATGGAAACGTAGAAAAATAAAGAAAAAAATGAAGCTAAATAAAGAAAGCAAATAAAGCTAATACTTCTAATAGTATTGTTCTAAGAAGATTCCTCAAACAACTTTGTAAGTATTTTTCCCTTTTTTATTTTGTTTTTTGTTTGATTTTGGCATTTGCATCTCGTGCTTTATCAGATTGAGTTTTTACTATTTTAGTTGTCATGACTAGTGATTAAGGTGATTCATTGCAATCTAGTGCTATGAGATTGCTCGATATTAGCATTTGCATCTTGTGTTTTGTAGACTGAGTTTTTTGTTATTTTACTAGTGCAATCTACTGCTATGAGATTGCTCTCGATTTTAGCATTTGCATCTCGTGTTTTGTCGAATTGAGTTTTTTGTTATTTTACTAGTCATGGCTAGGATTAGGGTGATTCATTGCAATCTACTGCAATGAGATTGCTCGATTTTGACATTTGCATCTCGTGTTTTATCGCATTTAGATTTTTTCTTATTTTACTTGTCATGACTAGTGGTTAAAGTGATTCAATGCAATCTACTGCTATGAGATTAGTAATATATACATACATACATACATATATGGATATATTCATTCTAAAATTATGTGATGAAAAAATCCTTGAATGAGAAAAGGTGATAGGCTATACTTACAAAACTTTACTACAAACCAATGATTCGAACGAAAAAAAATTTGAAGAGAATTTTAGATGGTTTGGAGGCATAAAATTCAAAGATTATAACATGGATAAAAGTTTTATTTAAACATAAACTAACATCAGGTAATGAAACGACTAAAGAACTTTGGGATCTATAACTCTTATAAGCCTAAGCCTCGACAGCTTAATGTTGTAGAAGTTGCATTTGTAAGTTCCCCCATAGATTTTCTTATTGATCAGTTTAAAAAGTTCCTTGCCACACATATTTGCTTCATGTCCGTGCAGGTTTGTCAACCCCAAGCTCTTTAGGTTATTTTCTCTCATCATGTCTCATAACTCTTCATCATTAATTTTTTTGACGCCCATAACTCCTATATTAGTCATGACTGTTGATGGTAGGTGTTGATTTTATTTACATATAAATTATCATTTCCTAATACATACCATATATATTCATCATATATTAAATCCTGTTTTCATTGAGCAATTGTATGATTTTATCTACACGATCTCATTTTCAGTCACTTGATGTTCAGGATTCATGCTCCCTGAGGCTTATTAGGACAAGCAATAGGTACAGAGGATCATATTTGTCAAATGGATAATAAGTTAGTAACAGTAAAAGTTAATTTATCTTCCTTTCATTTGAATCCTTCATCATCTAATTTTTATTTATGGCATTGCTGTTTGGGTCAGATTTTGTCTGCTCGTTTAAAATACTTAGTTTCTATGAGAGCATTAGGAAGATTGTAAGAATATAATATTTCTAACTATTGTGGCTACAAATTGACAAAAATTTCTGTATTACCTTTCAATAAAATGATTTTCTCTTTTCTCGTACCATTTGATTGAATTTATTCTAATGTATAAGGGCCTTCTCAAATTTTCATAAAAGGAGCCTCTCAAAATAATCTAATTTATTGATGATTATAATAAGATCAATACAGCATTATCATTCCTGTGCCCGGTTATGATGATTTATGGGGGTAAAACCCCTACAATTTCTGCTGCAAATCAGATCCATCCACTGTCCCAAAATTGTAACAACTTCTGACAGTTAGTTAAGATCTCTTTATGTAATATCTGCCTATATATATTCCTTACATTGTAACCTTGGCGAGCAAGAAGAATCAAAGGAAATTTTCTGTTTCCACACTTCTCTGTTTCTTTTCCTATTCCACATTGAGCTTACAGTATAGACCTTGGTGCTGAAAGAGCACAGAGCTTCAGGAAATCGGTACAGCAGCTGGAATTTCTACTTCTACATGGTATCAGAGCTTTTTGCTCTACAGCACCATTTATTTTATTTCCTGTAAGAATTTTGACATCTTGTTTCCATCTTCCCTTTCACGGCTGATAAAAATGTCAACCACGCAAACTCTCTCAAATTTTTCTGCATCCTTTCAAACGACAAATCTAATGGAATCGGCTGTGTGATTCCATCTCAGCTAAAATTCTTAATGTCCAATATTAAGAATGTTATCCATACTCAGCTTAATTCGGATAATTTTCTCAAGTGGCTAAGTTGTTTAGAGCCAATGGATTTAAGGGCTATTTGGTTGGTTCCACTCCTCCAGCATATATTCCAACCCACCAATCATCCAACACTCCAAATCCTCAATACAGCCTATGGATCCTAATACATCAAAATTTAGCATCAGTATTATATTCAGTTATTTCTCAACAGATCTTACCTTATATTTTAAATCATGATTTATGTGCTGAAAATTGAAGTACACTTAGGCCTCGTTTGGGTCGGCGTTTCGATCCTGCCATAATCCCCTCCTACCTCCTTCGGCTCTTGCACAAAAAAGGTGTGATCTTCCCCCTCCCTCCCCTCCTTTCTCTTCTCCGACACATCTCACACTTGCTGGTTCGTCATCTTCCTCCTCTGTTACTAGAACATATGTGAATGTCTTGATTTTTTATTTTTAGTTTGGTTCGTCGCCTTCCTCCTCTGTGCGAATGTGAATAGCTCTTTCACAAGAGTATATGTGAATGTCTCGTATGGATTGGATGTAGGGATTCGATGTGAATGGTACATGTTTTTGGTGGCTTGATTTTT